TTTTGAGATTACGCTTAAGCTTGTAACATGTGTCCAGCTGGGAAGTTTATACTAGAGAGTGGTCGATCATTTCACTGTCAATATGATGTATGTTATTGTTCTAAACAATGCTAGTACTCAGTACGGTATTTCCCTCAAGAAAGGATTACATTGTATGCACCAATCAATATATTGGGCGCTATGGGAGGCCACATATGGCGGTACATGCAGCTCTTCAAATCAATAAAAGATAAATAATTTGCCCGTTTAAAGTTAGTTGCTGAACTTAATCACATCTGTTAAGTTTATTTTATGAAGATTATTTGCTAATATAGTACATTTTTCCATCAATTATACTTCTTCTTCTTCCTCCTCTTCTTCTTCTATATACACTGTCTTCATGTTATGCCATTAACAATATTTTAATTTACACAAAAACAAAGATGCAAAAATGTAACAATGTTCAGTGATTTCATGAACAGAAAGGTTAGGAAAGAGATATATTAAAATCAGAAGTGTGTGGTGATCCAGTATAGTTTCGTAATTCTTTAGGCAGTCGTGGGAACGCTTATCGCGTGAGGATGACAGAAATATTCACAGGTAACTTTGAAATGCCTCAAGAAATTAAAAGGATAACATGTCATTTTTATGCAAGATACATAAAATGTACTACTTTCACAGCGACTCACAGTTCATACATCAAAACCGCCTTATCCACAGTTTAGCCAATGTAGCAGATGTTTCGAACAGCATGATGCTCGAGGGATCTTCAAGTGGGATACCAACGTAAAATGCTTAGGCGGAAAAATCGTTAATTATGCCACCAGTGTTTTAGTACATAGCGGGGCATATTATAATGTGTGGTTTACAGTTGGTGTATTGACACACAGGTCACGCGTGGAAGGTATGGATTGTGCTTACACGGAGTCTTCAGGTTGTAGTGAACAAAAGTATCAAACGAGGACGAGTTGAATAATTCATTAATGGGAAACATAAATGTATATTATCGAAACACAAGAAAGAAATACAAAGAATATTTAAAGGCAAAATATACATCTGTGCATTAATTAAGCACCACCCTATTTTGAAAATAAGATGTGATGCTTCAGAAAAGTTAGAGTATTGCCATCAATTTAATCAACCTGTAGTTAAAGAAGCTTTATCCACTGACAGTTTTACAAATACCATAACCTATTCTATTCTTTATGAAAGAATATGTTGATGAAAATGTGATGGGACTGAATTTTTACTCAAAATAACTATTCCTCTCCTGCTCAAACTACACAATTAAATTAAGTTTTGACTAAAAATAACAATTCTGTTATATACCAAGATGACATTTACACATCAAGTAAGCTTTAATTATGCATAATCAGGAACAACCGGAATGTCAAAGATTCAGACCTTTTCCCAACAATTCAGATTGCTAATTGACAAAAACCGAAAAAGGCCACATTAATTGTTTGTAAAGCAACTTTTACTGCATTTTACAATTTTCCTTTTTTTTAGTTTGACTGTAACTTTTCCTAAATCTTAGTTTACAAACTTTCACCCATTCACAATAAATAACGAATCTATAGACCACACAACAATCAATTATTACTTTCACTTTTCAAAATAAGGTAACTTGTTTTAGGACAGAAAAACACCTGTTTCACATATAGGCAATTATCCTAATTAAAATACATGTTAATTTCAATGATGTTTTCGTTTTTGAAATTATAAAGGTTATTTTTGGGAAAGAGTTGAGAATTTCATTTCAGACAAAATTAATTGGTAAAAATATAGGGTGGTGCTTAATTTATGCACATATGTATATAACATCGTTTAGCAAACTCGACACCGGGTATTTCTGTTATATTGGATGCGAGACTTTGTGGTTGTCATCAGTTTTTTCTGTAACAGGTTTGGTTGGAATAACCCATATAGCAGCATATAGAATCAAGGTCTCACAACAAAGATTACGTCATGACTGTCTCCTTTGTCCAATGGGGTGGTTGTGAATGGCTGCTGGTGCAGTACGTTAAAGGTCGAATGTTGTTGTAATGATTCGAGATAATGTTCTATTTGTTTGTGTAGTTCTGTCACCTGTAATGTCCCCATGCATGCACTACTGCAGTTCAGTGGCGGTAGTACGTGTATCCTTTCTATGTTGCAAACTTTAGTTCGCGAACCCTGTTTTATTACCTACGAGGGCGAACATATCGTGGTTCATATTTTTCATACGATGCACTAGGCATGATAACGTGACGTCATGAACAAGGCCATGACGTCACGTTTCTTCTGTGACGTTGCGTTCTATATGCGGCGACGGCGGGTAGCCAGCCGGTGTTCGAAATCAGATTTGGGTTTATTTTCCTCAATTGGACGACTTCGGTAATAAATAGAATATTATATTCGTGCCCATATCATACTTTGTTTACGACACTCGTGCCTAAATATCGGTATATCCCTCGCTCTCGCTCGGGAAATACCAACATTTAGGCACTCGTGTCGTAAACATGGTATGACATGGGCACTCCTATAATATCCTCTATGTAGTCCAAGGGTAACTACAAATAGTCACAATGACATTTAAGTAGGCTTTACGTATGCAATCACACAGCGAGTGTTACTCATGTATACCCATCTGTGCTGTTTCGTATTGCGTCTATCGGGAGTAGATAAACAGTCTCAGAATGACTACAGCTTCGACAGCGCTTCCGACACCCTCGTTCGACTGACCAGCTGACGCTGCGTGTAACACTGCTGTGAGTGTATTGAATAGTGGTATGTAACTCCGACAGCTGAGTGTGTTTATGGATGTATAGCACTAGAATCCAGTTTACGTGAAACTGCTCAAGCTATAAAATATGAGATATAGGACCCCAGAACCATACATATGGACATCTTGAAGACCTAATTAAAATACTGACATTTATCTGAACGTAACAGTACAAAGATGCAGTGTCGAACACACACCAAGTTGAGTATTCCTCTTCCCTAGGACGGGTCATGGAGCTTGAAATGACCCATCACCGGGTTCAAACTGTTTTGTATCTTCTATTGGTCTTGAAATTAAAATGAATTAGTTCTTTCTTTGTTCATACACCTCAGTGTCAATTTCTAAATACTGGTACGGAATACATATATGTTCACTTCTTGGTGTAATTGTGTCACAGATACACTGAATAGATAAGTGAGAAGGCGTTGACAAATGACTTGTTATTACGGAATCCCAACTCTTACATATAACAGTTCGAGACACCACGTAAATGTGTTCTGCACACAACTTTACATAAGTATGTATATTCTCAACATTGCTCAAACTGTATCAATGTATCAGTTTACTTACAACTTATCAACGACGCTTGAAATATAAACGGCGTTCGAACAGAGATACTGGAAATATACCGTTCCCCATCGACAATAATCAGATGATGAACACAATGACTCACAAACAACAGGGTGAGGGCAGGTACTGGAAATAGACGCCGTTACCCTTTAACACAAATAATAATCAGATGGAGAACACCATGACTCACAAACAACAGGGTGAGGGCAGGTACTGGAAATAGACGCCGTTACCCTTTAACACAAATAATAATCAGATGGAGAACACCATGACTCACAAACAACAGGGTGAGGGCAGGTACTGGAAATAGACGCCGTTACCCTTTAACACAAATAATAATCAGATGGAGAACACCATGACTCACAAACAACAGGGTGAGGGCAGGTACTGGAAATAGACGCCGTTACCCTTTAACACAAATAATAATCAGATGGAGAACACAATGACTCACAAACAACAGGGTGAGGGCAGGTACTGGAAATAGACGCCGTTACCCTTTAACACAAATAATAATCAGATGATGAACACAATGACTCACAAACAACAGGGTGAGGGCAGGTACTGGAAATAGACGCCTTTAACACAAATAATAATCAGATGGAGAACCTTTAACACAAATAATAATAACACAGATCAGATGATGAACACAATGACTCACAAACAACAGGGTGAGGGCAGGTACTGGAAATAGACGCCGTTACCCTTTAACACAAATAATAATCAGATGATGAACACAATGACTCACAAACAACAGGGTCGGGGCAGGTACTGGAAATAGACGCCGTTACCCTTTAACACAAATAACAATCAGATGAAGAACACAATGACTCACAAACAACAGGGTGAGGGCCGGTATATGATATAGACACTGTTCCTCTTTAACACAAACAATAAGCAGATAATCAACCCAATGATTCACACAGCATGTCAACTTATGACTTGGATCTTTACGAGCTGCACATAACTCCCCGTTATCCTCTTAAAGTGTACAAATATCGGTCTCTCTCGGCACAGCTGTTTTCAGTGGCGTGTGACACTTCGCGGTCACAGTCTGCCTTCATTGGGTGATATGTGGCCATCGATTATGTTCACAGTGTCTATCGTGCTAAACAAACACCATACTTGTTATCAACAGGACTGACACAAAACACAGTTAACCCCGGGGATTGTATAACGAACTGTACTGACTGTCACAAGGTCCGTACCACCAAAGCTGTTAATCTCATGAACATGGGTGATCATACAGTAACCGACTATTGGCAATATCCCTCTATCCGTCATTTCAGTTCAGCTTGTAACCAAAATATTTTACGGTACCTAGTAGTGACAATTCCAGCCATAGTGATTCCTTCACGGACACGATGTCTTTCAATAATGAGTTAGTATTTTATTGCAGAAAGGTTAAGGATGATGTACAAATCCAAACCAAAAGATACGGGCAAAAACGCTATTATATGATATGAATACACACTTGTACTGTAGCGCAGGTGGTAGCACACTACAGGGACGATGGGACTCAAGGGAACCACTGTTGTCTTTCGCGCTATCAGCGCACCTTGAGCTATCCACGATGCTCTACGATGTCCAGGTACGAGAAGTTTGAATGTGGGCTTTGTTTGAAGTATATTACAGCGGGTCGGTCGGGGTAACTGAAAAGATGGAAATCAAGAACATAGGGACTTCTTACAGCACCTAAATCGCCCAGGTTGAGGTCAAAATATGCCTGACCTATTGCATCAAATCTGTTTGACCTTGACATGGGAACTGATTTTTGATATGCCGTCAAAGTGGCGTCCAGTAACTGGGAGTACTCCAATGAAAGACTTTCTGCCTTGGTGTATGGGAATGTTATATTGTTACTGATGTAGCCCCAGATCTGTAGCTGGCGCCACAGTCTCAAGTACATCGAGTAGGTGCTGATACAGGTGATGTTATTCTTCCGAGTGAAGGCTGTTTCAACGTAACCTTCAATAATGCTGAAGTCGTATTCCAGCTGGAAGTCCTCGAAGTCGGAAGCCATGTCAGGGGACTTTAACTTGTTGTACACATACAGAGTATCTTGTTCGAAGGTATCCTCTTTTCCAATAACGTCAAAATCTATTCCACAAACATCACAATGGTTTACTGTTCCAGCAAAGAAAGAATATTGATTAGTTGACTTGAGGAACATTGTATATTCCTTAAATGTAACACTATGGCCACACATCAGCTCCTCTTTTGTCCGAGATTCTTTGTGTTTCAATATAATCTGTTTGCCAAGTTGTAATGATTCGTTACTTGGCACAACAAAATTGTTCACATAATATTCAAATAACTGCCAGTGAGGATCGCGAGTGTATATTACTTTCAGGGATTTCATTAATGTTTCGTTTCGTAGTTCAGTCTTCTGGAATGTTGGAAACCTGCTTTTAGAGCTTTTAAAATGCCTCCAGTCCAGGTTATAGCTGGACCTCGTACTGGACTGACTCCGCATCCAGATTTCAAACGTCTTCTTCCATGTAACTGTATCATGATTCTCCAGGGGACAGTAGAGTATGTTCAGTGGTTTGAAGTGCCAAAGCTGATCCGCCCAGTTTTCTCTAGTTTGGCTTTTTATATTTTCAACATTGCAGACATATTTGAGATGTTCGCGTCTCTTCCGATAGATATCTTCGGCGTCCTGAAATTAGATGAGCATTCAGTTAAACATTATAAAATGTCCCGAGATAATGTTTATAATGTTTCGACTCAGGAGTGGCTAATGTGGAAAGGCTTACCCTTTTTGAAGCGGAAAATGGAACGTGCAATTCCTTCACATCGGATGGGAGAGGAGCAATGTTTGAATGACTTAATTCCTTTGCAAATCGTGCAGCTGGCCTTCCTTTGTAGTCATCTGATTAAAAGAGTGAAGATAAGTCACAATATAATCATACAAAGTACTGATGTTACCTATGTATATGATACAGTGTTTCAGGTGAGATTTCTTATGGGTGTGGAAAGGGTTTTGTCGTTTCTATTTGGCGTCACTGTTTATTTCAGTGATATCAGCCATGTTAACCCAATATTTGATGAACAACGGGATTGTTGCTAGGAGAAGACATAATTCACGTCGATAGACATGGTTCCATAGATTGTGTACTCACGTAGTATCGTCTCAGTAAATGAATACATTGTCCATCCCACCACTGTCCCCAGTACAGCAAGCACAAGCACCGAGGTCACCGGACGAAAGCGTAGTGTTGACATTAATAGTCTCCGGCTTGACCACAAGGTTTGAACACCCATCCCTTCAACCTGAAGCCAAATTATCTTTATTCAGAGGCATAAATGCTCACTATTAACAACTTGGTTTGATAGAAACAGGAAGTCTTTAACGAGAGGAATTAACATGGACGATTGTCCAAAACGTTGTTAGACTAAAGACTTCCCTTTATAGGAACACATAGCACATAATGATAGGAATATACACACCTTCATGGAGGAATGTCTATGATTATCCTGAACTAGATCGATACATCTTAAAGCAATATTATGAACATACTGTGATATCGGCCACACACCCTTATGGACCCACCCGATGGGTCTCCTACACGATTCCTTCGGTCTTTGAAATCAAGAGTCACGATTCGTCAGAACACATGACATTTTCCCAAGGTCGGTTATTCCCGTGCAGTTATTCCCTGTATAACTAATGCCTCTGATTCAAATAGCGTGCAATAAGCTGTGGACTTTCTTCGGATTTCTTCTTGCCACATAACAAACGTACTTTTACTTCACGAAATTAGTTGACCTTCCAGTAGTTTCACCTCAAAATCTCCTAACTTTTTGCAAAGTACGTTTCCTTCTGCCAGGAGAGCATTGAACCTTTTCGTGATGTACAGACGACTTCTGGTCTATCTGGAGTATATCAATGGATCCATTTATACTCAATAAAAAGTGTATCTATAAAAGACACACCAATGATTTCAACCCCCACATAGCTATATATATTCATATCAAAATCATGTTCGTTTGTATGATTCTTTTGATCATAACTGATGGCAGAGTTTGTGTTTGTCGGAATATATTGAAGCAAGTAACGTTTGACGAGGGTGCATTGTTGCTACCTTTCAGATGACTGTAAATTTGACCTCGCGACATTAGACAAAATCTATATGGACAACGGTACATCACTGACATCCCAGACAGGGTTGTTGTACCACATTTCGATGGCCATCCTGTGCACACAAGACCAGTCTTCGTGTACGACAATACAAGCCACATCATGTACGTGCTGTTGGGGATTTCTTAGAAGAAGTATCAATTCCACCTTGGCCCACCATGAGTCCAGATCTCGCATCCAATAGAGCATCTTTTGGACATTATGGGTCGTAGAACACACAAGAGAGATCCTCCAGTACAAAGTCTCATGTAACAAGCCCTCGATAAAAAATGTAACGCAATACCTCAACGTCAAATTCAACGTCTGACACAGTCAATGAGACACAGGGTCGAGGCTGTATGTTGTTGCAGCTGGTGGAGGTTTCGCCAGTGATTGACACTGTGCTCGGTTATTGATGTTTATGTGATGTCTTAAGGATTCTTGTTAACGTCATACGACCATATTATCTGTCACTACAAAATAAGTCAACTTTTTTGCCATGCTTACTTCTGTGAATAAACTGCAGTGTTTCGTTCTGTTTGTGTTTAGATTTGCCATTTAATCGTTTGGGGTCAGTTTATCCAGAGGTATGTATAAGTTCATTTGATATGGTCAGTGGTAACATACTAATACTATGGCATATTTCTGTGTTGTGATACTTTTTTTCCATGTGCATATAACATTCGAGCTCTCGTTTTATACCACAGATTCTATATATGTGCCTTGGAACGTAAAACATGAGTAATTGACAAGATGGAATGTTAGCTCGCTCACTTTCGGAATGAAAGTGTATGTATGGTCAAATGACAAAATGACTGAAGATATGGACAGTTTTGGTCATATGCCAGTTTGCATTATAGTATGGTGAAAGTAATCATTCATGAGTGAGGTATTCATACACACACGTGACTTCCTCCTAACACATTCAGCTTTGTGTTTTAATATTCAGTTGAACAGCGGAACCATGTTTCAGCGTTACTTATCACACACATATAGCGTACAGACACACGAAATTACTCGACCGACTGATCTCAAGACGTTCGGGCACAATGAAATACAATTCAGAAATAACGAATAGAGGAAATGTTAGGGACGAGAGGACAACTTACCTGAACTTTTGTTGCGTCACCTAATGTTCCTTTGTTGTAAATCTACTGCTGATGTGTAACATCTACTGTTCACTTATACTGTTTACTGTTCCCTGGCTGTACTATCCGTCAGTCACTTGCTTCAACATCTACTGCTGATGTGACTGTATGAAACCGATGCTGGTTTGTGCGATCGATTTTAGTGGAGTTTCGAAGCAGCTGGCTAGGCACTTCAGTCTAGTTACACAAATAAGTCTCAAATTTAATGAATACAAGAATCAATCCTCTGCACTGCTCCTATAATCAGGCGGTTTACGGTCAAGTACTACACCTATTATTGCGAATTGAGTTTCTTTGATTGAACATACGATACCCTTTGACTTGACAAATGTGCGTGTGGTTGTTTGAACGTCTTACGAGACAGTTTTCATTATCAAGTAATCTTTGTACATAATATTGTGCATATTATTTACAAAATGGCAAAGCAGGTTAACAATATCATCAACAAGTTTTAAATAACTATCAGCTGATATATCTAGATCTAAGCCTTCAATACTATCTGGCGATAGCTTTACAAATTTCGTGTAGTGAAATTGTATTACAATATACCTGTGGGTTCAAGCCATGCATTAGAACTAGAAGCGTGAATGCTGCCTAACTCCGCTGGGGACACCCACTTGGCGTGTGTATCGGGGGTTACGATAAGTATGTATTGCTGTCGTTCTGTAGAACCTCCAGTCACTTGGTGCAGTCCATCAAACTGCCATAAGGAGGATATCTCGGATGTATCAACTCATTAAAGGATGATTCCAAATTGTTTATGGAAAATATAGCTCTGTATATGAGGACATGCATAGTCACAGGTATGTTTGATAAACGTACATGGAACGGGCTACCATTAACATACTATGGTTATACATAGTTGCAGAACATAAATAATTGTACAGCTTTATCCTTCATTTCCTTGAATATATTTGATTCATCACCTTTACGCTACACACACACACACACACACACACACACACACACACACACACACACACACACACACACACACACACACACACACACACACACACACACACACACACACACACACACACACACACACACACACTGCCATAGCTTTAGCTTCACAACGTCAATGTCCCCTACCAATCGGAACACAACAAACATGGTTTATCTGCGCATGTGCCTTAGTAATGACGAATGACTGCAATTTCTGAAACAAACTGTTTCACTTGCATGGAAGAACGGAACACGGGGGAGTTGAGCGTTTGGGCATTTATAATAATAATAATAATAGTTCATTTATAAAGCGCATATTTCCATGCACAATGCATGCTCAAAGCGCTGATGTCAGGACGAAAAGGCTTTTTGGAAAAGGTGGGTCTTTAGCGATGTTCGAAAGGTTGAAAGTTCTGTCATTTCTCTCAAATGTTGTGGGAGATGATTCCATTCTGAGGCTGCAGCATAAGAGAAAGTTCTTTGACCAAATTTAACTGTTGTGACTTTAGGAATACACAGAAGATTATGTTTCTCGGAGCGGAGGGATCTTGTTGGTTTGTATGGAGAAAGGAGGTCGGACAGATATTGAGGTGCACTTCCAGAGAGACATCTGAAGGCCAGGATGCAGAGTTTAAAAGTGATGCGCTGTGGAATGGGCAACCAGTGGAGCTCCTTCAACACAGGGGTGATGTGAGCTGACTTGGGTGAGAGAGTGACTATTCTTGCTGCTGTGTTCTGGACCCGTTGCAGTCTACCAATCTGGGATTTTGTTGCACCAGCAAAGAGGCTGTTGCAATAATCTAGTCTTGTCATCACCAATGAGAGGACAAGGATTATAGCTGCCTCCTTTGTGAGAAGCTTGCGAATGTTTCCAATGTTTCTGAGGAGTAAGAAGCATGTCCTGCACAAGATGGTAAAATGCTGGTCCAATGACAGCTCTGGATCAACAGTCACGCCAAGGTACTTAACACTGTTAGATAGTGGAACAGTTGTTTCGCCAAAGTGAAACGACTTGATGTTGGTCTGTTCTCGGCGAGGTGTTGTTCTCTACCAGAAGACACTCCGTCTTGTCCTCATTTAGCTTCAGCTTGTTGGTGAACATCCATGACTTGATCTGGTCACAACACTCTGTCATGTGGTCTGTTGCAATATGCACGTCAGTTGGATTTGGTTTGAAGCTGTTGTGAAGCTGGGTGTCATCTGCATACAACTGTCGCGAGACTTGAAACTGGTCAATGAGAGTCCCGAGATCCATTGTGTATAGTGTGAAAAGGACCGGTCCCAATACAGATCCCTGAGGAACACCACATTGGAGATGAACGTTGTCAGAAGAGCAACTATCAATGAATACAGCCTGATGACGATTTGTCAAGTAAGATGTGAACCAATCCAGCACTATCCCATCAATACCAAAGTTATTCCTGAGACGAGACAGAAGCCTGCTATGATCAATGGTGTCAAATGCGGCGCTGAGGTCGAGGAGGACCAATAAAGATGTCATGTTATTGTCAACACTGAGTCTCAAGTCATTAAACACACGTACAAGAGCTGTCTCAGTACTGTGGTCCTTACGGTAAGCCGACTGATATGGCTCGTAGAGGTCATGATGCATCAGATGCTGAGATAACCTGTCTCCCACTGCTCTCTCTATGACCTTGGACATGAAGGTAAGGTTGGATGTAGGACGATAATTCTTGAGTTCATCTGGATCCAGATTTGATTCAGAAGAGGTTTCACTATCGCTGCTTTAAATTGAGTGGGCATGATGCCAAGTCTGAGGCTAGTGTTTATCATGTTTGTGAAGACAGACACAAGAATATCAATGTTTTCTAATAGGAGTGGCGTAGGAATTGGGCCCAGAACACAAGATGTTGGCTTAGAATTCCTGATGAGTTTCACTATTTCGTCTTCGCTGAACTCTGTAAAGGAGTCGAACAACACCAATGCTTGTTGATCACACGAAGATATACTGTCTTGATCATCTGTAGAATTTTCAACCATAGGTTTACGGATTCGCTCAATCTTATCGAAGAAAAATGATTGAAATGACTGAGTTATCTGAGTCTCCAAGATTTGGAAGTGGATTATGTGTCTCTTTACCAAGTATGCTGAACATAAGTTGGTACAGTGAGTTTGGGTCATCCATACTGTCCCGGATCTTAGAGTTCATACAACGCTGTTTAGAAGGCTTGATCTCATCTGTAACCCTGTTCCTTGCCTCACAGTAGATCTGTCTGTGAATCTCGAGATGAGATTTGCGCCATGTACTTTCAGATACTCTCCTGTGTGTCTTGGCCGAAATGATTTCAGGGGTCATAATCCAAGTTGTTTCTGGTCGGTATGGTATCAATTTCACCTTCTCGGGAGCATGATGATCAAGCAACTCAAGGAGTACTTTGTTGTAAAGTTCAGCGTATTGGTCTGGGTCAGATGGCAGAGCCTGTAAAAGTTCTGAGGACATGAGGTCTTGACGGAAAGCTTCTTTATCCATCTTCTTTATGTTTCTGCACCGTATGTGTTTCTTAGGATGGGGAGATCTTTCAGTATCGAGGTCAACTGTCAATAGGTAGTGATCAGACACTTGAATGTCCTCAACACTAGTTCTGGTTACACACCTCACTGTGTTCTTAGTGAGCACCCAATCCAAGATATGACTACCCTTATGTGTGGTACCGTTCACTAGTTGAATGCAGTCTAAGGAGTCAAGAAGTTTTGACATATGGATAGTTTCAGTATTAGAAGGATTGTCAAAATGAATATTAAAATCTCCCATCACGATTAGCCTTGATCTTTCAACAACTTTCATCTCCACGAATGAGGAAAAATCTTGTAAAAACTGTGAAAACGTGTGACCATTCTTTTTTTAAGGTGGGGGGCGATACAATGCAACAAGGTTTGTTGTTGTTTTTCCCCGTGATAGTATGAAATCCAAAGTTTCAAAAGTTTCTGAGAACACTTTTGGCTTTGTAAGCGGCTTTACATTAAGGTGTGACTTATAGATAATTGCTATTCCGCCACCACGACTTTGTCTTGGTTGATGCTGAAGCAGCTTCTGCACTTCACCTGAGCATGCTCCGAAATGAAGGGTGAGTGTATTTTGTAAATTACGCACCCTTAAAACGTAT